GTATTGTGGGACACTGAGTCAACAGCTGTTGTGAAATGGCGCTCTTTCAATCAGACTGAAATGAATTATATGAAGAAGACTGTTAGGTACTGGCTCTATGCCTACTGCATCATTTTAAAAGTGTCATTTGTATGTACAGTCGAGGAGAAAATCTTTTTTGCTTTTTTTTGGTTTAAATGGGGGTATATTATTGTATTTATATCCTGTTTTTGTTTCCTATATACTCCTAACAAAAAAAAAGAGCCATTATAAACCTGCATAAAGATGCACTTGTTCAGCATAAGTTACTCTAGAGTTCTAGCCAGGTTGAAAACAAGCAACCATCCTGACTCTAGGTTTAGCATACCTCACTAACCCATTAGCCTTACGCTTAGGTTCAGCACTGACTGATTAGTTCATTCTTCCTCAGTATTTGACCAGTTTGTGATTGGTTCTCAGCTTCACAGACTGGACCTACCTCCTCTCCGATTGTCTCTCAAGCCATCACAGCTTCCCCAAAAGTCAATGGTGGCACTCACACAGGTAGTGCTCAATACTGCAGTTGCACTGCTACTGGCTGCTGTGGTTCTGCTCTGTGACTGGGCTCCGATCGCTTTATTCAGCTTGTTCAGGAATGCCGTGTACTTGGTTACTCTGCTTCACTCTGATACACCTGATAACAGCCGTACATTTCTGTTCATTCTGCTCACATGCCCTCAGACTTGCATCCTGTTTTCAGCAGAATGCAAAAGTATTACATGTTTGTCACATGTAAGGTAAAACAACCATATCGCTCAAATAAACCTGTTGCCAATATTTTGATGTCCAGATAATTATCTGACAGAATTTACCAGTCTCTGTGCACGGTTATGTTGACGCTACTTATTAGCCCCATTAACCACACAGCTAACAGAGCTCAATGAGCCGTGATATTCAAAATAATATGCGGTCATGGCTTGGTGGTGGTTCTGAATGCTGATTGGCCCAGGCTACTGTGCATGCACCCTGAGCTGTTAATTGGCTGAGTGTGCCATTACTCTGACAGAGAAGTCGTGATGCTTGGCTGCTGATGAGAACAAACACAGCTTGAATGAGCATCGTAGTGGTTGCTGTCTTTACTGTTGTACCTGTTGATGTTATTGTGATGACATCAGGGCTGGTGCACTTCTCTGTGTGTGTGTATGTAGATATGGGTTCTGGGCTGTATGGAGCATCTAAAGCCATCGCCATCAGTGACCTCATCACAACAGTAACACCTGAGAAGAGAATGGAAGAGAGCAGTGAAGTTCAAGGTAAGAAACAATGTCGGTGGTTGATCTTGAACCAGACACTTAATCTGTCAAATTATCTAAGCCCTTGCACAAACTTCTCTTTTTTTCCTATGTCATCCTAGTGGAGGAGGTGCAGGAAGTGGAGAACGTGAATGAAAAGGAGCAAGAGGAGGAGGAAGAGGAAACCAAAGAAACAGAGATTTCACAGCAGAGTACTCTCACTCCTCCGAAAATAGACACCAAAGTAATTGTCTCACCTGTCAACCCAGTCTGACCAGTTTTCTATTGCTGTGTGAAAAACTAGATTTTGGGCCCCATGTTTCACGTTGTGCTGTGTGGCAGGTAGGGTGTAGGACCCACCTACACCCTCATCCACCTTAAACACAGCTTTAATCCTGAAAACAAACTCTTCATGGGAAATAATCTTTCCAAAATAAACCAAAACCTTCAAACACAAAACTAGAAACTAAACTGGGGACAGGAACACGAAACAATAATGTGAGTACAACACAACACAGGGCAAGGAAAACACAGGACTTAAATACAGCTGGGAGAAATCAAACTTAACGAGACAAGGGAAGCAAAACTAGACACTGACATGAGACACGGACTTTCAAAGTAAAACAGGAAGCACAACAGGCACAGACACTGAACAAAACCTACACTAAACTCTTAACCAGAATTAAACTGAAACATAGGATACAGAATAGTAACAAAATACAAGAAACTAAAAATGCCCACAAACATTTAAAATGGTGTGTTAACCCCATACAGGTGCCATCCTTCTCCTTAAATCAAGTTTGTGTTACTCCCAGCAGCTCGTAAAATGAGAAACATACATATACATATAATACAAACGTAATAATAATCTGACATTCCTACTGAAGTTCTCCATGTGCTCAACTTTATATTTAGTTTTTATAAAAGTAGATGTTTTTACCATTTGAATCCTCGGTTAAAGAGCAGCTTGCAGGTTAAAGATTCTCTTTATTTGCATATAATATTTGTTAGGAATCAGTTTGGGAGTGAACACATGCGTTTTACATGGTTTGCAAGACAATTATTTGGTGGTTTGTGCAGGGGAAGAAAGGACTTTGCTGCTGTTTCAGTCATGAAAGAAATACATGCGCGGTTAATTTAAGTTCCTGGATGTATGAAGCCTTGATTAGAATTTAGAAGCCAGAACTGTATGATGCTAATAGCTGGTGTAGTTCTTTCACTAGTGTCATGGGTCGGTGAGAGACACAGTTGAACAAAAACCCATTTCCTGTTGCTGATATCGACCTCATCAGCTACTCTCTCTCCTGTTGCAGTCAAGCAGAGGTGGACAGAAACTCTGCTACAAAAACAACTTTAAAGGGTTTTTTCAATATGTGCATTTTTGCCTCATTGCTTAATTTTCCGTCTGAGGTCCCAAACCTGCAAGTTGCTCTTTGAAACTATTTCAGATCCTTCCACACTTCATTTCTCAGCAGAAGGCGAACTAACTGGTTTTGATCTGGAGGTTATATTTGCACTGATAATTCAAATTAAACGTTTTCTTTGCTTACTTACTTTTTCTTGTTCAGACTGAGCTAACTGATACTGCTGTGGACGAAGACCTGACAGCTACTGAGGTACACATCTGTGATCGTGTGGTTAATAATTCCATTGTGGAAAGACTTGTTAACATAACCTGTCTCTCTGCCTACCTATCTATCTGACAGTCTGACCAAGATGAAGATTTGAAAACTCAGGTAATACCTGAACTATTTTTTCTTCATATGTGTTGATCCCTCTTCTGTCCTCACTATGTCTTCTGTCTCATCTTACATCTCCCCCTCTCTGTCTTTAGGGAACATTGGGTAGTCCTGAGGAGATGCAGAAACCTCAGAGCACCATTAGCGCCCTCAGACGCTCCTTTTTAGAGGGAGGAGAAGGAGAAGGAGGAGGAATGACAGAGTGGGAGAAGCGTCTGGCCTCGTCACCTCTCCGAAGGGTCGATGACTCCCCAATGATTGAACCTCTGGAGCCCGATGAGGTGAGACAGTCATGGATGGGTTATCTTGTGGCATTGGGTTCACAGACACCTGCAGTTGGTAAATATTGTTTCAGTGCTGTGACTTAATTAATTGTGATGCAGTACATTGCCACAGTTTGTGGGTTGAATATTTACGATACATATCTTTGAAGTTAAACTGTTTTTTTTTCTTCAGGTACCTTTTTTTGGTAATGTGTGTGTAAAGCTGTGCTCACTTGCATAAAAGTGTTGCACTACAGGAGCCGGTGCCATTATCCCAATTTGCTGTTAGCATGTTGATAAGAAAACTAATCCCAATCTTATCTTTCAGATGTCGGCGTTGCAGACATTTAGACTGTCTCAATAGTTTTGAAAATTCTTCATGGGCCCAAGTTAACCAGCCCC